ATCCCAGGAGACACTAGCATTTGTCAGCAGGTGTGAAAGACCTTGGCAAAATATATGGGAACCTGATTTTCCCCTCTCAGAAATCAACACTGTTTAGGAACTACATTTAAAACATTGAGGTAACAACAAAGAGCATTACTGGTTACAAATTAACAAAGACAGACTTAGCTCCTAAATACACTTTGACAGACTCAAAATCCAAGTGTCAATTAACTTGGTCTGTCTCTCTACACTGCTGTTTCAGAAGTGCATCTGGTACTAAAAGAATCTCCTCCATATCTAAAGTCTCTTGAAAAGCTTCATTTCCATTAACTTCCATACCTTTTTCACCCAAACTGATCATAGTAAACCCAGCTTTCCTCATATGCAGAGCATTTTTTTTTTTTTTTTTTACACACAGTATTGTCACCCTGCACCTTAAGTAAAGTTTTTAGAGAATCCTTTCACTGACGACAGGAGCACTAAATACTTTCACAACACAGTGCTCAAAGGAAAATGGTTTTCTCAGGGGATTATTTACCAAAATGTACCACTAAAATTTCCCTTTGATACACTGCCACTGCATCTGAGGATGCAAAATTCAGAGGGAAAAAAGAAATTCAGATGTTAGAATGAAGTTGACAGATAAAAATTAAAAGCTATAAAATCAAAACACAACTGCAGGCAGAAAAGCAGTGCATTACAAGTATATTCAGCTTTGCAGGATAATTAAGATCTACTTTAAAAAAGAAAATCTTTCAACAAAATGCATTTGGCACAGTGCCATGAAAGGTTGAAAACCCCCTAAAGGTTAGGCACTATGTTATCCTGCTTAAACATAATTAACTGGCAATAATGAGCTATCATTTCCTACAAGGAAAGTGATAATTACTACTACATGTCATACAAGTAGTTAACATACATGAAATGACTTGGTAGGGGGGAGAGCAGAGAGGATTCTCTTAGGATTATTAGTTGGATAACTGGATCTTAAATATGAGAAAAAAAATAAGTTCAGGTCTCTAAAAGACTTTGATGGAACTTTAACAAACCCAACCCATGTTTGTTTAAAAAGCAAGCAAGTATGCAGAGTAGGGGTGTACACAAACTTCTTAAATTACAGAAGAGAAGAGAAAAGAGCAGCAGCTAAGCAATCAAATAAACTAAACTAAATCAAACAACCTAAAAAATTAAGGACTCAGTTGGCTAAGTGCTAGAGAAACAAAGAGTTGTATTATATTTACTTAGGAGGATATAATGATCAAGTTTGATTTCAAAAAGCTATTTTTACTCTCCTGTAAATACAGGCCAAAACAAAGTTCTTTGCCTTAACTAAGCAAAATCAATGACTGATAAATCAAACTTTTCAGACCCAGATACCAAAGGATGATCTATCAATCCCTCTATCCAACTGAACCAATCACAGTTAAATAGCAATTATGACACCAGTTTCCTACAGAAATGAATTAATGGATCATATATGCAGCACAGTATCCGGTGCTAATCATTTCTGACTCACTGCTTCAAAAACATGTCATTAATTGTTAAATTAATGAGAAAATAGCATGTTATTGTGTCCAAAATATGGTTCACATTCCTCTAATGCTTAAAAAAATCGCTCATTTTCTGATTGTCCCATGGAAATCCTTCAATTTCTTTAAAAATACAACGTTTTCCTAGTAATTTAAGTGACAATTAATAAAACTCTCTATATACTTGCAAGCATTTTTTCAGGATTCTAGACAACATCTATGATTTCCTCTAAAGACAGTACAAGCAGATCTTATAAAACTCCTCTGCTGGCTCACAGATAACAACAGCACAGGATTAATCATTTTTGCTATAGCAACCACTGCACTGCAATTACCATAGTGACATGAGAAGAATAGAAAAAGTAATAATGAAGAGCTCTCACTTGTTTGGAGCACTGTGGCAGCTAAATAAGTGCAGAATTCTCCAGTGCCCAACTCTGCTCACCTTAATCAATTGAAATGCCATTTGTAATAGATGTCAAAAAGCATTTCTGATTTATTTTTAAAAGGGCAATACAAATTTGTCAATTGTTCCCTGTCCTTTGGTCAGATTTATGTACAAATCACTGCTATCATGTAACAGGGGGGAGTGCTACTTATTACAGAGGTTCCAACTTAGCCATGAAGTGTAAGGTCTACTCCATTACCATAAATTTATTGATATACACACATCCTTCTATGTAATTTTCTATTAAAAGATACACACACTTTTAAAAAATGTACTGGACTTTCATATGCATACAAACATACGTTTGCATATTTTTTAATGAAAAAAAATCTTTATTTTTGCAGTACTTCAGGAACACTTGGTACTAAGATTATACCAACATGTGTGACAATTTCTCATGAGTCACCTAATTGCTGGTTTTTCCAACTCCACTTATCCAAATAATTTATACTGGATAGCTGTTGTTCAACCTGCTTAGTTTAAGAAAGGAAATTTACCCTAAATTAGTTGCTTTTGGAAGTTCTCAGCATCTTACACAAAGCTCCCTCCTTTTTTTCAAATGACTGGTAAACACTCATAGCTGGAAAGGGTACTTCAAATTAAATTTTCAGAAGCAGGAAAGAATGCTAGACAAAGTGACCTTTTGAAACTGCTTATTTTGTTAAGAGGCAGGTGTGATCAATGAATCAGAATCCGGCACTGCAGGAGTGCAGAGGGCACAAGCAGAAAGGTGGGTGTGAGAGGGAAGGCAGCAGCCCAAGGGGCACAGCCCCAAGCTCACATCTGCACCTGACACCGCTGCAGAGTCCAACGTGCACAAGGTTAATTGGTGAGATGTGGCAGAGTGAAAGCACAGAGATACAGAACCCTCGGAGACCTTTAGCAAATGGCAAAGCTGGCACATCATCTGTGAGGTACAGAAAATGTCAAGGAAGGGGAAGAAAAATAGAGGCAGGCAACCCAGAAGTAAGAATGTCAGAGGCTTGTGCCTGGATTTTGAACGTTTCTAATGCCAGGGGCTGTGTCCCAGTGCCAAGAGGAGGATGCTGTGGCAGAGACACTGGGAGTGCACAGCACATTCTGCCTCATGCACAGCTTGGCAAAACCTGCCAAGGTAGAAGGCAGCACAATCTTCTAACACATCTCATTTTCCATTTCACTGTGGTATTTTGATTTGCTGTGCAATCAGGCCCCATTACAGATAGCCAAATTATTCCAAACTGCAAACCATCCTACCTGAACTTCCTTTGACTTACAACAATTGTAATTGTCATTTCTGAAATGGAAAAGTGAAAGCAGGAGAGGTTCAAGTCTGACAATACATGTCTAGTACAGCATTGTCTTGAACTCCAGCTCAGCTGTGTGCTCCAAGGCAGTGTGTGAGGTACCTGAGGGTAAGCAGACACAGCACAGTGGGTAATGCAGTCACTGGGGCAGAGCAGCACACTCATCATGGGAGACTCTGCCCCTTTGGTGCAGAACAAATGAACCTGAGGATAATCAGCAGTGCAGGGCATTAAACAGGGGTGGTGGAACTCCAGCCCAGCAGACCCTGGGCCACTGCCCTGCCATAGCACTGCACGCTCCATGTAGCCACACATTCCAAATTTCAACTTTAACATTGGAACAGTTCCATTGCTCTTTGCAATGATATCCCAGGATTTACTACAATTCCATTAATTACTATAAATTTCTATGATTATGATTTATCATTTGGGCTCATTAGCTACCTAACATAGAGATAAAATTATCCTACATTAAGATAGCTTTTTGCATTGCCATTGTTAAAAACTTTAAAAAATTCTATTTAGTACCTATTAAGACACATTATTCAGAACATCAGCTTAGAAAATGATTACAAAAGACCCAGCATATTTAATTTTTTTAACTGCAAAAACTGTATTAGTCTATTCTTTCCTTCATATATTATATAGATAAGTATTCAAACTTGAAGATAAATAGTAAAATATTTTATTAAAACTTTGTCAAAGATTTTAGAAAATGGGGCAAACATTTCACAGAAGAGCTGGGGCACAGTTCAGGTTCTACCTGACTTCACTGCCTGTAGATGTGATCTAAGGACCATTACCCATCCAGCAGAGGTGTCTTGAACTCACATGTCAGCCTCAGAACACTTGTAAGTGGCAGCACAGAGCAAGCGAGACACACTCTGGGTCTAACAAGTTTAAAAATCGTCATTTTCTTTAAAATAAGTTTTTCAACAAAACGTTGAAACAAGGCTAGTGTTTGACAACATTTAAAAACAGTCTCACTGTAACAAGTGTGTTGTATAAATACAGTAAATTATTTTTTTAACAAGTTATTTACAGTCAATTATGTCAGCAGAGTCAGGCCTGCAACATTTTGCCTCTGGTTGGAAAATTGTTATTTTAGTGCACAGAAAAATAGTAATTTTTGCACTACAACACCAACATGCCCCATTCTCTGTAACATGACAAAAACACTGATAAGACACAATTGACTGGAAAGGTACATTCTAATAGAAAAATATAGGCTTTCACTAGCCCTTGCAAAAATAGATTTACATATAAATTAAATTTTTCTCCTGTCCAAAAGCCTTCCAGAATTTTCAATTACAACCATTAAGATTTTACCATCTTCCAGCAATTTTTATTCAAATAATTTTATTTCATTTAGTCTTTATTAGTTCACACAAGTGAAGAATTTAGAAACATTTAATCAGTTAATGTTTTCTGAACAAGATTTGAGGAAAAGTATTAAAATAATGACAAATAAAATACATGTCTGATAAAATTAAGTTTAGTGTTGTATCACACCTCAAAGCAACAGAAATTAGATACATGAGGCAGAATGTACTGGGATAAGCAGAGCTGAATATGGTGGTAATTATTCCCAGACATTTCAAGATTTACAAATAAACATAACACATAAAGAGAAAAAGCAGAGAAATGTAAAAACTTCATTTAGAGCTAAACACCTTTATTTGTTCTCCAGGGTAAAGCAGCTAACCAAAACATGAGGAAGCAACACTCAGGGCAGTGTAAAAGAAGAAAACTCACCAAAATCTGCAAACACAGACTGCCCAACAACTTTGGCACCACTGGGCATTTCCTTACTCCTTCCAACTTTGGAGAAGTTCCCATCCTAGCAAACAGGACAAAGATGATGGAAAGACTGAATTGCAGAGTAAGTGATAAAAAACTGACTTTTGAACCAAAGAAAATACAGATCACTAATAAAGGGCTTTAGCAGATAAGAGAGAGACATGTCAGCTACAGGAAAAACTGCACTCTTCAAAAATTGGGACTGGCTTTTTGTATTTCTAATCTTCCTGGAGTCTTGTGGAAATCCATCAACAGTAATATTCAGATACAATTTCCATATATTTTCTATGCTGTGAGGAAGAGATTGGATTATTTCAGCAACATTATCTAAATGACAATTAAGTGATTATGAATACCACTGTGCATTTTTGCATATTAACATGCAATTTTATAGATGTATGTAATATATAACAACACACCTGCATAAAAATTAAAAACAGGGTCCTCATTTGCCTTGTAATTAGGAAATAAATTGAATTTCTACTAGGTCTGGCTTAGAATTTGTTTTACTTATCCTTTATTAAAATCTAGGCCTACAGAAAACAATAGTCCATTTTACCATCAGAAAGATGACAAGGCTGGATCATTGTTTATCACAGAACTGCATCACAGCTGGCACAAACCCATTTTAAGTTTTTGCAGCCATGTCCCAAGGCCAAGGCCCCCTTCCCCATCACTGCCATCAGTCAGGCTCAGTGCTCTGCACACAAATGCCCAGCGAGGCACAGAGCCAAAGGCTTGGCAATGGAGCAGAGTTACCCATATCCAACAGGACTCGTGTCATCTTCAGTTTGTAGGCTTCAATGCAACCCTGCACACAGTTAGCACTGTCTGTACTGCATGCCTGACTATGTATCTTTAGCTTGATATATCATTTATAATGATTCTGATGAGAAAAATTAAAACTGATGCATTTCCATGCAGTGAAATAGAAGAGGCCCTCAGTTGGCCCTAAAAAGCATATCTTGTATAGACAAATATTTAAAAAGCATTTTTTAGTGCATCAATGAAGAGAATTACTTTTTTCTACAAAAAGCAGTTTAACAGCTTTTAATGGATCAGTTAAGGTAGGTATTTGTAGTTTCATAAACATGTCCAAGCATTTTACATGTATGACCTATTTTCCTGGGTTGATTGATTCCAAAGAACAGAATTCTTTCTTTCTAAAGATAAGCAAATCCATTCATACAAAATGTATAATGCAGCATTATATTTAGAATACAAGCCCAAAACTGGTAAGGAAATTAAAAGAAACCCCACTAACAGAAAAAAACACCTTACAAACACTCAATAACCATTGTTTTTAAAGTGTACCTAAAGCTGTAAATACAGCACTCATGACTCACTGCTTTCATTACTCTTGCTTGAGAGAAGATGGCCAGGTTATTTCAGACAGGACTCTCTTCTACAGTGATTCACTGTGATATGATGGATTCATTTTCAGCAAATCCTCAAAAACTCATCCCAATAAGCACTTTGTATTATCACTAAAAAGTTAACTTATAGCTATAGTCTTTTTGGGCAACAAGGTACAAGGGATACCCCTGGCCAGGTCAGACAATACAAAAGCAGAATCTCAATAAATCAATAAATAAATATTAATCCATTGATCTATTACTCCTTAAGCCTGAATTTGAGTTATGATATTTAGTTAACACAGGACTTGAGATTTCCTCGAATGTAACTTGCACATCTATTTTAACTGTCAGAAGTGACATTGTGAACCTCGGGCCCAGAAAATTCTACCCAAGACGTGGAGTCATGTATCTAACAAAGCTTACTTAAAAAAAAAAAGAAAAAAATCTTTCAGACAGCAAGAATAAAACAAACTGATCAGTCAGAAGATGACCCTTTGGGGTTTATAACTTGTCTGTGTTTCAAGAGAATGGTTGTGTTTCCTCTCTTACCTTATTTACCCACGTCTCAAACTGAATGGTTTTGGCATTTGGTGACGTGGTAAGGAACAAATCTGCAAGAAAAATATAAGAGAAATGAGATATTTAACAGTAGACTACACACAAGAATATTTGATCACTTAGTAAATATATATAATTTTAAAAATATTACCTATATTTTAGATGTTATAAATACTTAATATATCACTAGAATATAATGTAAGAAAGACTAAAAACACAGCCCTTGAAACTATTTTTATGTCTTGTACTCTTCTGTATAAATAAATATCAATTAGCCTTTTATTTGGGATATGTTGAATTAAGCAACAGATACACTATTGGCAGGAGAAGAAAAGTAGATGGAAAAATATTTCTGGCTTCCTATACACTAAAATTCCCTCAAACATGAAAACAGTGCAAAATAGAGCTTCAAAGGATTTATCTGGCAAGGCCTAAAGAGGAGCTTATTTACCCCTCTTAGAAAAGTCACCAAATTACGAAAATGGGAAGAAAAAGCTGTTATTAAATAAAAAGTGGAGGTTGAGGAATAAAAAAAAAATTAAGAAATTAAGTCCAGTATTAAGAAATACAGATTTAAGAAAACTAATCTTTTAGATTTAAACACTTGTTTTCTTTTTGCCTCCTCCCTCCCTGCAATTTCAACTGCATTCTTTGAGCTAGAACACAATGGTTATTTTGCAGGAAGAAGAAAAATAAAAGAAAAGGGAATATTAATGCTTTACCCTGAGGTGTTTTACTGAATAAGCAGGTAGACGGCTGTACAGGGAATTTTAAACGGCACAATAAGAGATATTATCTTCCAGGGAAAAAAAACCCAAAAATACAGCAACAACCAACAACCATAAAACTAGAAGCCTCCCCTAACAAGCAAAACCCAAACAACCCCCCAAAAAAAACCCCAAAGATTTTCCTTCTTGTCCACAGGCCATAAAAAGATAGCTTAGTGCTAACAACGACAACAAAAAAACCAAACATACACTTCTCTCCCCCCACAGCTTAAAAGCTCTACCATTTAATTTTATTCCTTGGAATATCTGAAATGTCCATTTCCTTTACAGCATACACATGAAAAGCATGATAGTGTGTGTTTCATTGAATGAATTACAGTGACACTTAAGGACTTCTTGAAGGTGAGACAAAAGTAATGAAAATAATCTGAAGACAGCATAAATGGAAGTTAGAAAGCTTATATATACTTTCCAATATTAAATTTGCATCTAGAAGGAAGCTTGTGCAATGCTGTTGATTACTATCAGATATAAGCCAGAAAAATATTCAAAAATCCAATACGTTCACAGGAGGAGAAAGAAACATGAAATAACAGAAGCCTCAACTAATTTTCCTACAGGCCAAAATGCCACTATATTTTTAAAAAAATGTTTTTGAGGTTTAAATAATTATTTCAAGTAGGGTCCTTGCTATACTTGGTACTGAAATTTGCCACGAGCTCGGGGCTGTGCTGCACACAGGCTCTGCTACAACAGGCTGTGCAGTGTTCTGCTGACACGCCCAGCACAGGAGGAGCACTCACTCCCTGGCCGGGGCAGGCTGGCTGTCCCCCCCAGCCATTCTGTGCCCTGTAACCTCTCCCCAGCACGCGTGTGACTCCAGCTCACCCTGCAGAGCTCAGCTCCCAGCTGCACTGCTGAGTCAATCCTCTGCCAGCCCGCGGTGCAAGGGGAGATCCTGGCGTGCACTAACTCAGCACTCCCTCTGGCAATGCTGTTTATACATATTTTGGGACTCTGTCCCAGACTGAGACAAAGTGCCACAGCTGCCAACAGCAGACATAACTCACCCAATGTCACCATGCTAGAACTTGCCCCAGCTCCCTCAGCCTTTCCTCAGCAGAGACGTTCCAGTCCCTCCATCACCTTTGTCACCCTTGGCTCCAGGAGCTCCATATCTCTGGTACTGAGGAGCCCAGAGCTGGGCACAGCACTCCAGGTGACCCTGATCCTGATCACCAGGCCTGAGTAGAGGGGCAGAGTCACCTCCTGACCTGCTCCAGTGCTCTTCCTAAAGCCCCCCCAGGATCCCATTGGCCTTAGGGTCACAAGGACACGGTGCTGGCCACGGACAGGCTGCTGTCCCCTAGGATCCCCAGACCCTTGTCAGAGCTGCTGCAGGTCACCCCCAGCCTGTGCTGGGGCTGGGGTTGTTCCTGCCTGGGTGCAGGACCCTGCACTGACTTTCCAGCAGCTTAAAGACAATTACATTCAGCAACATTCCTGTTTAGCACTGAATTCCCTCCCCCAAGCCAGCTTCTCTTTAAAGTCAGTGAATTACTTTTGCTCTCTGTTCCTCTCTGTGTATTCCTCTGTCTCCTTTTCCCTAACTCCAGGCACATAACATTATATAGAATGAATGAACCAACACAGCACAGCAGTTCCAAGGCTGCTGTAATGTCACACTGCACTGGCAAAGTGCAAAGGCAGGCTAAGAGAGCAGATAATCTAAAAATAGTGTGGAGGAGCTGATGCCACACTGCTCCTGCATTACAGAAACAAGCTGTGATTTCCCATAGGACAACTTAACACAGGTACAGCAACACCACCTCTAGCTCTAGAGCCCACTGGAACCAATTCCACTGGTACCTTACTGCCAACTGTCCTCCTCCTTTTTATCCCTAAGCCTTCTTAGAAGCTACATGTTCGAAATGCTCACGCATAAAGTCTCTTGCACTGAAACCAAATCAAATTGTTAATATTTACAAGTAATTTTCCATTTTGATCAAGAATGCCAGAGATTTCAAACCAAGCAAAACAAAACCATTTCTTTGCAACAGCAGTATAAAAAGGTGATGCAATTTAGACACAATAAATAGCTATTCACAAATTTATATAGTTCAGAATGACAAGTGCTTTCTCCCAAGATTGTGAAAGAAACGTGTAAGAAAAACCAAGTCCTGTCTGGAACAGTGCTCTAGATCAGTTAATTCCCAAATGTTACTTTCAACCTACCTTATTTTATGATTCTTTCTGGATTGATTACATAAGTTTTTGACTCCAAGAGCATCTCAGAGAAGAAACAAGTAAGAATCTGTGCACTTTATAAATACCTAACAGCCAAAGCAAAGAATCCTTGCAAGTATTTCCTTTCCAAAGGAATGGTGTCCACGACATATCTCCCACCTCACTGTTACTGCTTTTCATGCCTATTGTTACTAAATTCATGAATAAGTAAGAGCTGCAGGAGAACAGATGGAGCCAACAAATGCATTAATATCTGTATGGTCAGTACTGACGTTACACAACAATGAAGACATATACAGTTCTTTTCTATACTTTCTATATTACAAAACACTAATCATGTTGAAAGCTGCAACATTTCTGTTTTGCTTCTGGCTATATCAAGAAAACTCAGCCTCTTTTTCCTACAAAGAATGCCTATTATATTCCATAGGCTCAGAAAAAGTCACTTGTCTGTAGATATGCTGCACACTGCCTTCAGGAGGCAGTTCAGGTTTCAATTTCAGCTGTAAGAAACAGACTCTATTCCAGAAAGATCTCTAAGTTTAAAAAGTACACACAAAGCATTGAGGGCTGTTCAAATTCTTATAAACCTAACAACAGTACAGTGAGAGATACAACCTGAGGTTATTCAATCAACTAATCTGGAGCTCAACAAGCAACTATTTACAGAATACATAGGTGATGGTTTTACTAGACAACAGGTACATGAAGGAATGCTAAAAACAACAGGCAAGGGGGTACCCTTAAGAGCCCTAGGGTAAATGTAGATTCTATAGATATACAAATGGAAGTATGAAACAGAAACAGGAAAAAAATCCACTTTTCTGCTGCTGCTGCTGCCAGGGAAAGAATATTATGCTAGTTGGATGGACCACTAGACTAAGCCTGCAGGGCATTTCTTGCATTCTTAATTTGTGACATGGTGCAGCGATGATAAGGAAAATACTTGATAGTTGGGATAGGGGAAGATCTTGATGTCAGATTCAGGCAGATTTCCTGAGATGTAGCACCTATGGCCTAGGTGAATGGACAGAAGTAAAAAAGCAATACTGCCTGAGAGGAAACCTTTCTCTTAAAGAAATGCAAAGTAAAGCGTGTTCACATTTAAATATGCTTTCCTATTTTGGATTTAACAGCCAATGATTAACATAAATACAACATAAGTAATTGGAATATTCATCAACAAAATTCAACAGCTTGGGAATACGATAAGGAAGCATGGAGGTTACCCAGCACTTCAGATCTACAATACTGAAAATCAACTAAAATATAAACCAGACACTTAATACAGAAGGTATCTGATAATGCTGCAACACAAAACCACTGTGTATTAGCATTTTTCTCACAACTTACCCTAAAAAGTGAGTTGGTGAGTGAATTTGGCTATAATTTAATTTAACTGGCTTAGTATGAAGAAGCTGCTATCCAAGCTCTGCTACATCTGATCAGCAGTTTATATACATATATATATATGTGTGTAAATACTGAATTCAGCATTCATTCTTACAAAAAAAAGAAAGATTATTAGCATGTTTCTGCCTCTAAAAGGGAAGCTACTCAAGTACCATGCTCCTAGCTCCAATAATCTAAAGCTTGTTACAGAGGAACAACAGCACTTCCATCCATCTTCATTTGATAGGATCAGGGAATTTTGACACTGTATCAACATACAGCCCACTGAAGACTGAAAAACCTCCCCCCAAAGCAACATAAAACTTGACTAGCTAGACTGCATTGAGTTTATTTAGTGCATTTAGAACTACCCTGTATCAATGTCCAAGTCACCCCAGACACAGCCACAAACACTAAAACTGTCATTTGAACATAGCATATCCCATCTTGAGCTAGCTACATTTCTGGCAGTGACTGTGTAATGTATCTAAAGGAGCTTTACCAAACCACTACTGTCTACAGGGGCCCATCTCGGGCAGCAAGAGCACAGCATTTGTGCCACGGGGCTTGTAACAGAGACCTGCATTGAAGATAAGCAGATACTGAGAACCCAGCACCTGGATTAGGGCAACCAAACTGATCCAAGGGCAGGAGCACCTCTCCTGTGGAGATGGGCTGGGAGCTGG